CCCGTTTCATCTGGCCTGCTCCATGGCCTAATCTGTCCCATGGTCCGTCTCGATGGCCCCCAGTTGGGCGCTATAGCCCTTTGCTCGTTCTGTCAGGAGTGGCCTCCTGGCAGAGCGCCCTGGGCGCGAGCTCGGGGGCCGCTGGCGCAGCGTGCCATCACGGAGCAAGCGCGGAGCTGCCCGAGCGCCGCGCTGGGCACGGGCTCGGGCACGGCGGCGCAGCGGGCCGCCTCCGTGCGCGCGCAGGGCCGCCAGACCGCCGCCTGGGGTGAGACCTGGCATCGCTCGGACGTGTGCATTGTTTCTCGGCGAGAACCATCGAGGACCATCCTGGACCATCGAGCAAACAACAACACGCACGAAACCGAAAGAACAAGTGCACGGGAGATGGACGTCCGACCGACGGCAGGGAGGCGAGAGCTCTTTTGGGGCTCGGCGCGCGCGGCAGGCCGTCCGAGAGGATGCTGCTGCAACAGCTGGGCCCTGGCCACGACGCGCGGCATGCTCTCCTCCTCCTCCTCCTCCTCCTCCTCCTCCTGCTGCCACTCCTCCTCCTTCTCCTCCTCCTCCTCCTCCTCCTCCTCCTCCTCCTCCTCCTCCTGTCTCTCTTCGTCGGGCTCCTCGTCAACCTCGTCCTCCTGGAGTCCTCCTCCTCCACCCCCCCCGCCAGAGCGTCCGCGGCACTGCCGCACTGTCTCCGGCGCCATGGTCTGTGGTGCTGGACCCGCACGTTGGTCGGGGGTGGCTAGACCCTCTTCTAGGGTTAAGGTATATTCCCGCTCAATGGTAATATGTCTAAGGGAAAAAGCGCTTTCTACCTTAAAACGAGAAATAATACCTTAAACTGCAAGAGCAGTAGGGTTCAGGTTAAATGATGAGAGCACTACATAACATTGAACGCTGCGTTTGGTTGTTCTACAAATTCTGTGTAATCTGTAGTGCGCATGGATGTATTTTGCGAGACGGTGCTACGGTATACGCGTTGTACCCAGAGTACCGCATCACCGTGAATCAAACATGTTCGGGCCATGGGGTTGGTCGAAAGGCGTTGCCTGATTGAGCCCGCCCCGCACGTTTGGATGTCTCAAGTGAAGACGCCTGGCAAAAAGCTTGCACGATGGGCGGGGGGATGGCATTATGCCTTCTTTGGTGCGACCTGTCGGGGCCTAAGACAGTCACTTGAGGGCCTTGTGTCCCCAGAGGAGAGGAAGAGGAGGGGGCGGAGGAGGATGAGGAGGTGAGGAGGTGGAGGAGGAGGAGGAGGAGGAGGTGGAAAGAGTCCTGAGTCAGATAAGTCCTGGGGTATAAAACAGAGCACGGGTGAGGGACCTCGGGCCCGTGTTCGATGGCCCAACGCGGCACCAACCATAGTGGTGAAACAATATCCGTGGCCATATTTTTGCTCAAACTCGGGGTCGTGTTGCACTTTGTGTCGCATTGTGTTGCACATTCTGTTTCGCATCCGTTCGTTGGCCGACACAGATGGACGCCGACGTTTGCGGTGACGATGGCGTCGGGCACGTCGGCGTGCCAGCGCCGCGCCCACCAGCCTCTGCGCCTCCTGGCAGGCAGAGGGCTCCCCTGGAGAGCTGCCTCACGCTCTTTTTCGTGTTCGGTGAGTCTGGAGGCCTGTGGTCTGCAGTGTACAGGCGTGCAGCAGCAGGGAATCGTTTCGACGACAACGTTCGGCGCTTCTTCGGCGTTGTCGTGGGGAATGGAAACTCATCGACACCGATGCTGCACTGCAGATTCGGGACGAGCCTGGCGGGAGCGGAGATCTCATCATTCGCTCCTCGCTGCATGGTGCCAGGCGCTTTCAGATATCTGGTGCACTGATACACGAAGCCATTGCGTCCATCGAGTTGGACAGACCCGTGCAGAGTAACGCCCACAATGCCGAGGAGATATCAAGCGTGTTGCATGGAGCTTCCTGCACGTATCACGATGGCGGGAGTCACACTGTGGGTACATGGCACGACTTGTTGGGCGTTTTGATGCGTGCGTACCGACACGTGGCTGAATATTTCCCGTTGGTTCTATGCCCAGTGCTTGCTGTCGGAGTTGTTTCTATGATACAGCCTGTGTTCAATTGTGATGCGGTGAAATCCCGTTTCCGACAGAGCCTGCATCATGGACCGACCCGTCGTTCATTGCAGTTTTTTCGGCGGATGCACCCTCCGCGCATGCAGGACGCAGCTCCAGATCGAGCTCCACCTGCGCGTGGTACGTCAAGTCGTCGGCGTCGGCGCCTATCTGCTAGTATAACCATCGAGTGGCTCGGTGTATCGTCGACTTTGCGATCACTTCGGCACAGATGGAAGTCTGGGAAGCATTGGAGCAACCTCTTTGAGCGTTGCGCTGGCATTGAGCGTGGCTCGTTGCGCCAGTCCCTGCATCGCATTCGTACTGAGACCCTTCGTCAGGCGCGGGTGCGGCTGGACTGGGCATGCATGCGCCTCACGCGTCGCTTCTACGCGACGCTCGATTGGAGATTCATCGACGTGTACCTATACATTGACAGCAGCCCCCAAGGCAGGGGCTGGGAGATGCAGGCGGCTAGCTTCGTTATCAGAAGAAACGGCACGGACTTCAGACGAAGAATGTTCTCGCCAGTTCTTTTGAAACGGACTCAATTGAGCGCATTTCAAAAAACTGCAGCGTTGCTTTGGCAGATATACTTGTCTTTTGGAGGTTCCGTGGACTCCATGCGGCGATTTTGCCATAGAGTTCGCGGGATCATGAGCGACATGGGCACAGAATACATGGTTTCAAAAATGAATGAGGTATTGCCCGACTTCTTCGCACAGCTTGGATGCACGCAGCAGGTGGCTCGAGAACCTTTGTTGTTCCCGAGGTCGCTCATCATCCCAGGGTGGAGGCACAAAATCGACGTGTTGATTCGTACGGGCGTGCGCTCCCTCCGATGGTTCCCGAGATTCTTGACTCGGGTCAAGGCGTTGATCTCGATGTTCAGGGACGAAGTCACCAGGGCCTCAAACCACCAGCCACCCCCCTCCCAATAATAACAACACGATGTTGAAAGGGGGCCGAAGGGGAAGAGGGGGGGAACACGTTCAAGAAAGGGAGCACGGAAATAACCATAAACATAACACCCTTTCCCCCACCTAAACAAACACAACAAGAAACCCACATAAAAAACAACTGACAAAAGGGGGGAACGATTACAACATATACAGCGTGCGCGACAGCATGAAAAAAGAGCAAACATAAACACAACACGAACAACAAACAAGACGAGGACGACGAACACAACGGGGACGAGGAGCACGAGGATAAGGATGTGGAAGACGGGGTCCCTCCTTGGCCACCCTGAGAGCTCCTAGGCCCCACTTGTGATGAAGGAAGGTGGGGGAGCGGTGCGCAATGCGAAATCTGCCCAATGATCCAAACGCAACGCTTGAGGACCAACGAGGGCCCCGCACAGTTAACCACACTATGTCCAGGCAGCCCAAGAAACCCCCTTCAGAAGCCCCCAGGAGGGCCCCGCAAGACACTCAAGAGGCCTCCGAGAGATCCCCACACAGCCCAACGCGGTGCTCGAAGGATCGCGAGAGAAGGTTGTTAGAAGCACCGCCAGGGCATCAGGGACACCTTGGCCACGCACTGGCGGGGGGCTGGGCTCAGCGGCCTGGCCGCGCTCATGACGAACGCGTCGCTCCCTACGTTTACCGAGTGGCGTTGGAAAACACTCAAGGACTGCCTTGATGGATTGGACACATTTCTTTGGTCAGTCAGGGGTCACTTTGATCGTGCTGCGCTGGGGGGCGTGAGAGACAGGGTTCGTCGTCTTGATCAAGTGTTCGGCGCCCTCACCAGCCCATCTTTTCAATATGAGTTCGAGCTCATCCATTGGTTTGCGTCTTGGATGGGTCGCTTGATGGCCTTTGCGGGGTATTGCCCCTGTCACCCAGAGAAGTGGGACACAGGCGAGAGTTTCGTATGCGAGAGATCGGGCTGCGTTCTGGGGCTGGCCTTTGATTATTCAATGAGTGCCCTCAGGGCGGGAGTGGCCGAGGCCAACTCGTGGACATCTGGCCGATTCGGCCCGTTTACCCATCTCGTGCGGGATGGGCAGGGCATGGCCAGAGCTGCTCTCGCGCTCGGGGCACTGAAAGTGAAATTCCTTGATGACCTCCCCTACATCCTTGGGAGATTGGGCCAGCCAGACATCAAGGAAAAGTGCCTGATCATGTGCAACCGCCACCCTGCTGCACATCACGAGTCCACGACGCTGGCGGTTCTACAGCCAGGCACTCCACTGCGAGCTGCGGTGGACGCCATGGACAGCGACGGTGGAAACATGTCACCCTTGTTGCGGTCCGAGGTCGATTCCATTAGGTATGCACCATTGGACGACACGGTCGCAGAAGGGCCACACTCATTGAGCCGACATCACCATCTGAGGGCTCGTCGGGCTACCTTCCCTTGGATCGCCAGCAGCATGCGCCTAGATACGAACTTGGTTGACGTGCATGACTACGCTGCTGCTCTCGACGCAGACTTGGACGCCGAATGGGACAGCGCCACGGCGGTGCTGAGGACTTCTGGCCGGGCTTCCCGACACAATTCTGCATTGAGAATCAAGCGATCTCATGCCGAAGGGCTGACCTACACGGCGAAACACTTATCTGGTATTCGGTGCGGGATGGCACTGCACGTCGGCGCTGGTGGCGGCGGTGGCGATCCCAGAGGCGGGGGAGGCGGGGGCCCTCGCGACGGCGAATTGCCCGACGACCTCGGCGACGAGGAGCCGCGGGCCACCTTCCACCGACGAAACATCTAAGTAGCATGAGGAGGCGGCAGAGGAAGGACGAGGAGGACGGATGGGTAGAAGGGCGGGAGGGGGATGCGGATGAAGGTGAGGATTACTCCTCCTCTCCATCCGCTCCCCGCAGTGCCCTTCCCTACCCTTGTCCTACTCGTCCTTCAGCACCCCTCCTGCACATCTGCCGCGTTCGCGTTGCTTGCGATCCCTGGAGGACGCGGGTGACGAGGGCGACGGTGGCCCAGGCGGTGGCGACGGGCCCGCTGGAGATCCTGGCGCTGCCGGCGGCCCCCCTCCAGTCAAGGGTGCCAAAAAGAAGCCCGCTGAAGGCTTCGCCCCTGGAGAGGGCAGCTTATCGGCAGACTACCTGGGTAGGGCGCTGGTGCCGCACCGCTACTACTCTGTGCAAGTCGACCTTGACTATGACGACCCTGACGACCACCGTGGAAAGAGATTCTTTCAGTTGTTGAGCTTGAAGGTGCAGCCGAAGCTGATCAAGACAGTTTCGACAGAGCAGCCAGATCACGAAACTTTCGTGGTACACGCCCAACTGATGCAACCATGGAACGACCCGACCGATGACGTGGTGGACGCTTACTGCATAGAAGACCCTGCATGCCTTGACTTGTTCATGTACCTTGATGCGTCACGCGAGTCCAGGCAGAGGCTCTGCATTTGGGAGGTCAGGGACAGCGACATCGATGAGCGCGTGGCTTTGTACGGAGTTGTCGTGGCGAAGCCATCTGGCGACACGTTATCTTGGCCCACGCTGGCGCTTCTTGATGAGCTTGATGCGAATGGATGGCGCCGCGAGCTCGCTCCCATCGAGTACGGGGATGCAGCATCTGCGTCGCAGTACGATGGTCGGGCAGTGCGGGTTGGCAGGCGGTATTATTATTTGCGCATGCTCTGCTTGGGCGCCCTGTTTGAAAAGGGCGCCGCGCCATTCAGCTCAGCGGAGCCAGACTCATTCTACCAGTTGTTACTTAAGTATCCCAGCAAGGCGGTGGCTGGGCAGAGTGCCAAATCATCAAAAGCATTATTGGACGGTCTTGGGGGCGACGATACCTCAGATCATATCATCGTGAATCGCCCTTCCAAGAAGCTCAAGCCCGCGCCAGCTCTGTGTGATGATGTCGTGGGCGACGACGGGGCCGATCCAGTTGAGGACTGCGTCGACGGCGGCGTCGACATCGAGCCACTCCCCATCCCAGGCGCAGCTGGTTATGCTGCTGATGTCGAAGGGGATTGCGGCGATGATGGCGGCGGGGACGGCGATCCAGCAGGTGATGGGCCTCATGCCGACGTTCCAGCTCCAGTGCCAGGACCTCCTGTCGGCGACGCCGCAGGCCCCGCCCTCGCGGTCCCGCACTTCATAGAGGGCCAGCGCGTCACGTACGAGTCTCACGTGACGCCGCCGGGGGTTCCTCACGCTGGACTCCGAGCTCGCTGCAGCAACCCTGCCCATCCTGGATGTCGGTGCTTTCGTTCTGGCAAGCTCGACGTCGACAGGTACGGGCCCAAGGCCGCTCAGTACTTTCTGGGGGCTCGGCTGCAGCTGGCACACGGAGCGCCCACCAAGGGCGCGCGCAGGAAGCCTCGCAGAGACGAGGTTGACGCGCACGCAAGGGATAATCCCTGAGCAAAACACGGCGGCTGGCGGGAGGGAGAAGGAGAGGAGGAGGAGGAGGAGGAAGAGGGGGAGGAGGAGGAAGAAGAGAAGTGATTTCACGTATGTAGTTTCAGTTGCGGCTGCTGTCTCCGCCGACCCCCACCCCGACTGCCCGACGCTTGCAACATGCAACTTACCCGTAGCCTACCCGCCACTGCCTCCCAAGTCCCACGGTGATGGACATCGTATGCTTGCCTGCGCTTTCGGCTCTGGTGAGCTGGTGGATTGATGCGCCCGTGCGTGTGTTATGGGGTCGGAAGAACAACTAGTATGCCCTGGCCCCGCTCACCTTCCCCTCATTGGTCCCGCTCGTGCGCCTGCCTGCCCCCTCTGGCACGCACCTCGCGCGGTACGTGGCCCCATTCGGAGCTCTTCCGACGGCCCCAGTGACAGGAATCGTTAGGAACGCCCCTAGCACGGTTCGTGGCCCCATAGAGTATCACCGAGAGCGGTGCACCGACCCCCCCCCCCCCGCATCGGCCACCTTGACGAAGACGTTTCAATCGACCATGCACTCGCGACTCATATTTCCCCCCCCCCCCCCCCCCCCTCTCATTGCCCGTAGCCCTGCCACTCGCAATTGCATCTGTGATGTCCGAGCCGAAGCGGTCGCGCAGATTGCCCGATTTTTGTTGTCCGCACATGCGCGGGTGCGGAACCTTCAGCAGACTCCGCCCCATATTCCGACAACTGTTTTAAGGAGACCTCCGCACGCGAGGTCAAGGCTAGCGAGGAGGAGCAGTACGAGGAGGAGGATCAATAACGATCGCAACGAAGCTTGAATTCACTGGACCAGATGTCCTTCGAAGACGGGGGGAGCGAGGAGGAAGAGGATGAGGAAGAGGAAGAGGAAGGTAAAGGCAGCGACGGACAGTCAAGAGATGCGACAAGCTTTAACACCTAGTTAGAATTTCAGGTACGTGTCCCTAGAACCTAATTCCTATCGAGGCGCTTCTCGTGTGTATATTAGGCACGCTCCGAAATGATGTATGTCCTAGCCTAACTCCACTGTCAAATGGCCCAAGTGTAAGCGGGAGGGCGTCCCCCCCTGAATGCCCCCCCCCGACTAGAAACACAAGAGAACAAACCAAGTTGCTGCACGAACCATAGGGGAAGAACGCGTGTGGCGATCTAGCGGGATGGACATAATGCGAGCTTTGCCTAACACAATGCTCAGACAAGCATCTCTGGTGAGTCGTTTCCGCCCAGGGCTCTCGCCAGACCAGCAGCTAAGGTTCGCCCTCCTAGGAGCAAGGTTCCTGTGAAAAAGGTGCCCTACGTTCGCACTGGAGCGAGGCCCGCCTGTTTGAGGCGCTCGCGACCATTGTTGTACTTCTTGTTGCATTCCAAGCGCTTCGCGCCTGCGCGCCTGACAGACAAGCCGACGCCTAATTACCATCCCCTTAGGAGCGGCACGGCGGCGGCCCATGTGTGTGTTTGTGTATGCGTTTGTGTGCGGCTGTATTATGGTATGGTGGTGGTGGCATGGTGATGTGGTTGTGGTGGTGGTGGTGGTGGTGGTGGAGGGGGCGTGTGTGTGTGCGTGTGTGTGTGTGTGTGCGCGCGCGTGTGTGTGTGTGTGTGTGTGCGTGTGTATGTGTGTGTGCATGTGTGCACGTGTGTGTGCGCGCAGTGTTTGGCCGCGCGCTGGCACTGACCTCCTTCGGCGGGGTCGATGTGCTTCCCCTGGCTGTTAAACACCAGTCGCACAGCCTACTGCACGACTTAACTCAACCACTCCGTAGCTCAGCAGCTGCGCCCGAGGCCGCGACAGCAACACCAACTGTGTGGAGGTTGGTGTGTTGTGGGCGGTGGTGGTTTGGGAACTGGCAGTGCGGGGGAGGGGGGGGGGGGGGGCGCGTGTGTGTGTGTGACTAGCGGATTATAGTTTCGCCAGCGGAGAGCAAGTTCGCCTTTTTACTTTGCACCCACGACGCAGGGGCACAATATTTCTTTAAAATTGTTTTGGGAGAAATCACGACAAAGTAATTTAGCTCGGGCGAAACATTTGCGGCCGGCCCAACGGCAGGGGAATCTACTTTAAACCAACGCACGAAGGAGCGCGGCCGTGCCGTCAAGCCATACGGGCGAAGGTTTCTGTAATTACCATAAACCACAACAAACCACCATAAACCAACCATAAACCACTGGCCATATTACCATAAACCACCATAAACCACCATAAACCACCATAAACCATTGGCCTTATTACCATAAACCACCATAAACCACCATAAACCACCATAAACCATTGGCTATATTACCATAAACCACCATAAACCACCATAAACCACCATAAACCATTGGCTATATTACCATAAACCACCGCAAACCACCATAAACCACCACAAACAACTGATGATCAATCGCGAGGTGAGAACGTTGCATGGCGCGTCCAACTGCGCCAGTGCGGCAGCTCCAACGCGCCGACGCTGCGTTGCCACTCGCACGCGCACGCACGCACACACCTCAATCACCTCGCACACACACACACCCACACACACCTCCGCCACACACACACACCGCACACACCACCACAACCCCCTCCACCACCACCACCACACGCACCACAGCCACCACCACGGGTACCTGGGCATAAGCGGCTAGACGCCATGTTGTGTACCCGCGACTATTATGGTATAGACAGCTAGATGTCGTTTGAGGCGTCCATGGGTACTCCTGTCGGAACAGCTAGATGTCGTATTGTATGCCAGCGATTGATTGTGCATAGGCAGTTAGATTTCGCGCATCGGTCGTGCGCACGCGCGGCTGCGTAACGTCGCGACGGCGACGCGCGCCACCCCCCGCACCCCTCCCCCCCAACAAGAAAAACAGCACCTCCGCGCGCAACACACACACACACAACACACACAACCGCCTCAACCACCACGCACACACACACACACACACACGCGCGCACGCGCCACCACCACACACACACACACCGCACACACCACCACAACCCAGTCCCACCCCCACCCCACCCCACCCACGCACACACCACCACCACCACCACCACCACCACCACCACCACCACCGTCACCACGGGCATTCGGGTATACGCAGCTAGGTGTCGTTTTGTGTGACCACAAGGATGTGGGTATAGACAGCTAGATGTCGTTTGGGGTGCCCACGGTTACCCCTGTATGGACAGCTAGATGTCTCGTGGCGTGCCCCAAAATACTGGGTATAAACAAGCAAGTAGAGGTCGCATTCACACGCTGCATTGCCCTGGTGGGCGCGGAGCAGTTTGACATCTCTTGGCGGGGAATGCTGCCATGGCCCTGGGCGCCCCTCCCCAAACACAAAGAAATCGTTGGTTGGGGGAAAGGTTACGAGACGTGCCCATGCTGGCTTCCGCTCGAAAGACGGGAATTGCGTCTGGTGGCTTTCTGGATGCGGCATCCCGATGCTGTCCGTAATCGTGTTGGCCCATCTCCAGGTTCGCATCTTTTGTGTGACCACCGATTTATACCTAGTGTTCTTGCCAAGATCCGAGTGGCATGGTCTTGTCGAAGGCCGACCTCGTGGCGCAGGACAGAGAGCTCAAGCAAGAGATGAAAACCTTGAAGAAGGCCCTGAGCGATAAAACCAAGGCGCTCGTCAATGTCAGAAAGCTCGTCAGCAAGGTTGACCAGGTGACAGCGACGCATGTCTTGGGCGTGAAGTCCAGGAAGAAGGATCGTACACCGACATGCGGTGGCCCTGCTCCGCCAATTCCGACTTCGTACCTCCCTATCTACATGCGCGGGCCATAGCCATAGCGCAGTGTCCAGGGCAGGCCAGTGTAGTTTGCTATTCCAGTGGCCAATGTGAGTCCGCTCCATTTTGATATGTGCGCACGTGCTCTGTTAGGCTTCTGTTGCGAATGGGCACTAGGCCTATTATTTCTTCGGCGCTCCTGCGCCGTGCGTTTGCAGCTCAAGATGGGTCCCGTGAGTCCCGTGCAAGCCGATCGCCTGGGGGAAGGGGTCGCAACATGACCAAACGAACCATCAATGGAATCCAGCCTCAATATACCTACTCGACTCAGTCACAATCGTCACCTGTTTTACGTCGTCATCATCATCATCGACTCCCCTTTGATTGGAGTCTGCGCCCAGAGTACACAACCCCTTTGAGCCACCAGTGTGGGTTTGAGACTTGCTCGAGCCGCGCTTGGCTGGCAAAGAGGATGAGGCTTATTATGCGAGCGGGGAGTGAGGGCACCAATCAAAGAGAGGAAAACACAGTACCAAAGAGCGAGATAAGAATCAAGAAGGAAGACAATCATAAACTGATAAGCAAACGCAAGGCCGTAGTAAAGAAGGACACCACACAATAATGCCAAGGTACGCTCAGAGATAAAAACCCAATCACCAAACCATAAAACAAACACATAGTAATCTCTGCAATGAGAATAACGATGAGGATTAGGGCAATAAACAAAGATGATACGAACGAGAAAAAAAAAATAACAGACAAACAAGGATAATAACATAGAGACATTATTATCTAACCTACTCAGACGGGCGGGGGCCAACGAAAGCTGTTCGAATTTGAACGCGTGCCCAACTGCTAGGCGCGAGGTCCGAGGATGCGGCAGAGTAGATGCAGCCTCGATTGGGCTTGCTCGTAGAGAGATCCCCCCTTCGGGCCCTTAAGAGGGTGACTCTGGAAACGCGTATTTCGCGGCCGAGTTCGGCGGGGCCCCACGCGTTCTTATAACCTTTTATCTGCGTGCAGCGGGCCCATCAGGGCCAAAAGCCATCGACGTCGCATCGTGTGAGGCGGCTGTATCTTGGGCCTCCGTTCTCCTCCTCCCCATCTTCCTCCGTCACGGTTGTTGGTCCCCGAATGTCGCTTTTGCTGTTGGTCCCTGTGCGTTGCGTTTGGATGTGCCGTAGGCGCCGCCCTCCTTAGATACAACCTCGACTGGACATGCTCGTGACAGACCCTCT